GCTGGTGGTGTGCGTCATTGCTGGAGATGCCATCCTTCTGGTGAGATGTTAAACCAAGGTCCTGTCTGCCTGTTAAGGTGGATGTTAAAGAGAGAATAATAATCCTTGCATCTTATCATGTCAATGAAATGTCTCCAAGCACTTCATGGATATACTGTAAAGTGATACCACTCTGTGTATTTGGGGATGAACATTTTACATTAACATAGGATCCCATACTACTATTTGAAGAGGCAAGAGAGTTTCTCCCAGTATCATGGCTAACAATCTCCCAGATAAAATTGGTCATTAATTTCATGATTGTTTGTGGGCCATTGTTGGTGTTTGCAAATTGGCTTTCGAGTTCGCCTACAAAATATATAATAAATCTTGTGAAGTGCTTTGAGATTTCTTTCCGACCATCTATCTATCAATTGTAGAATTATTATATTATTATAATGTGAATACCAGGCATCAAGACTTTTCTCTTCAACCGTGCCTTCAGTTCCCCTCGCGACTCTCTACCTCCTCCTCGCTTCCTCCCTTCCCTCTCCTCACCCTGACCATTTCCCCCCTGCTCGGGTCCCGACCCAACTGTCCAGCGCCTTGGGACGTCCTCCCGATGTGAAAGGCGCTCTATAAATGCAATCTTGTTGTTGTTGTATTTGACATTATGAGTTGCCTCCTGAGGTGGAATTAAAAGGTTAACATAAAAGTAACGTAAACTGAGTGTAAGATGTTGTTCTGTACCTTATGAGATCTGATAAAATGGAGGTAAAATTGGATTCCAAACTAAGGCTGTTTTTTTCTAACAAAATTAACAATAGAGATTAAACCAGCACAGGTAAATGCACCTACAATCACAGTGGAGCCCTAACAAAAGCCCCTTTAGTGTGAACATTCTCAAAAGTCCAAACCTATTTAGTCATAAAACCTAATATGTTACATTGAAACATTGAAGTGGGAAGTGATATTGAATCATACAGAGAATCTGTTATACCAGAGAAAATCAATGTGAATATAAAATTCCGATATTTGGTTTCATTACTGAGTAAAGGTTTTCCCGTCTCTCATGTAAAATTGTAATGATGTCGATTTTTTTGTAAATTCTCACTTCTGCAAGTTCAGACAACTGTGCTTATTATAACATATTTACAAGCAAATTTGTTGAGTCACAAACTGTGACGCTGAATTCATCACAAATAATAGTGCAGTAGAGTTACTTAATGTCAAGAGTAAATACAATACATTATTGGAAAAATTAGCCGTATACTATTCATTAAAACAATTCTTAGTACAAACAAGACATTTTAAACAAGAGTACTGCTTAACCCAACTTCCTTGCACCATCCTTAGTTTCTTAATTGTTTATTTCCTCCAATGTCTCTCCTGAATATGTTGAATCGAGGCTGGGTACAGTTCCATAGATGCCAGCCATGAATGATCAAGCTGGACTTTACACACTTCTTCAAGGATAACCTTGGACAGTAAGTATGGGCATTGGGCTCAGCTGTGATCACTAAAGAAAGGGTCAGCCCAGTCCTGTCCTTCAACTTAACCAATCTTATGATCTTGTGACATATCCATGCACATACACATGCTTTTCCCATCACAGTGGTGGGGGAGGGCGAGGGAACCCAGGCACCCGGGAGGTATCAAAGGCCACAATCAAGAGCAGGAATCCTGGATGACTTTTATATTTTTTAAATGAGGGGCATTAAGGACATAGGTAGTTCCTCTACTGTTTCCGCCCCCCATTCCCCCAAAATCACACTAACTAACTGAGCACATATTGGGGAGTAAACCTGCAACTTCCAAGTCTACCTGCCTCAATTTAACTTCAACATCAACAACTTGCATTTATATAACACCTTTCATATTTATAAGACAACCCAAGGCAATAGACAGTTGAGGATTTGGACCAAAGTTCGGGGTTGGATTCATGGGGGAGGCAAAGGAGTGAAAGATAATATAAGATATGGTCAAAGAGAAAGGTCTTGAGATGGACCATGGTGAGAGGTGAGGTGGAGTGCCTCTGGAATAGTTCCAGAGTGTGGGGGCAGAAAAGCTAAAGGCCCAACTACCAATGGTCAGGCAAGCTGAGCGGGGAATGTGAAGCAGGCAAGTGCCTGCTGAGCAGAGGGAGTGGGTGGGTTGGTGGGTGGAAGTAGGGTGGGGAAAAGCCAAGGAGAGATTTAAAAGTGATGATCTTGAACTCTGGGGGAATGTGCAGGCAGTGGAGCTCAGCAAGGATGGGGGTGATAGGCTCGTAGAGGACATGAACTGTAGAGCTCTGGATTGTCTGCAGCTCAATGAGTTGGGAAGTCTGGAAAGCTTTTCTAGGCAGTGAGATAAGTAATAAAAATGATCATCTGTCTTGATGATCATTTTTATTATGAAATAAAAATGATGAAATATCAAGACAGATGATCATTTTTATTACTTATCCGTACTTTTGCTTTATTTCCAATTAGAATAGGATAGCAGCAGACAGCAGGAGGATATAGACAGGCTGGTGAAATGGGCAGACACATGGCAGATGGAATTTAATGCAGAGAAGGGTGAAGTGATGCATTTTGGAAGGAGGAAAGAGGAGAGACAATATAAGATAAATTATACAATTTTAAAGGGAGTACAGGAACAGAGACACCTGAGGGTTCACAAACATAAATCTTTGAAGGTGGCAGGACAAGTTGACAAAGCTATTAAAAGGGATCCTTGGCTTTATAAATAGAGGCATTTATAAAAACAAGGAAGTTATGTTGAACCTTTACAAATTGCTGGTTAAGTCTCAGCTGGAGTATTTGTCCAATTCTAGGCCCACACTTCATGAAGGATGTCAGGGCCTTGGCGTGGGTGCAAAAGGGATTTACCAGAATGAAACCAGGGATGAGGAACCTCAGTTATGTAGAGAGACTAGAGAGACTGGGATTATTCACCTTAGGACAGAGAAAATTGAAGGGAGATTTAACAGAAGTGTTCAAAATATGCAGGGTTTTGATAGAGTAGATAGGGAGAAACGGTTTCCTCTGGCAGGTGGCTTGGTAACCAGAGGACATAGATTTAAGATAATTGGCAATGGAACCAGAGGGGAGACCAGGAGATTTGTTTTTTACCCAGAGAGTTGTTATGGTCTGGAATGCACTACCTGAAAAGGTGGTGGAAGCAGATTCGATAATAATTTTCCAAAAGGTAATTGGATAGGTAGTTGAAAAGGAAAAATTTCCAGGGTTATGGGGTACAATCGGGGGAGTGGGACTAATTGGTAGCTGTTTCAAAGAACTGGCACAGGCACAATGGGCCGAATGGCCTCCTTCTGTGCTGTAAGATTCTATGATTCTAAGAGACTATTCCATTAACTTGGATATCTTTTTCTTGAAAATATGTTAAGTTTGAGTTTCTCCCATTCCCCCAACTTCAGTCCCTATAATTTCCTTCCTTTCTATTTCTGAGCCTGTTCTCACATGATAATAATATTAATAATAATAATAGATTTTACTATTGCACCTGATCATGTCAGGAGGATATCTCAAAGAACTTCACAGACTTTTACTGTAAAGGGGCCGAGCGTTTGTAGGAGTTACAGCAGCCAATTTGCATATAGCAATGTCCCACAAACACCCAAGAAATGAACAACCAATTTTGTTTTGGGGGATTATTGGCCAGGACATGGGAGAAACTCCCTTCTCTTTTCAAATAATGCTGTAGTCTACCTGAATAAGTAGAATAAGTCTACCTGAACAGATAGTCGGAAACTCAGTTTAATGTCTCAACTGAAGGATGACATCTCCAACATTGCAGTACACCCCTGGGACTACACTGGAGTGAAAAGGTGAGTTCAAATTCCCAACATGGGGCGTGAACCCACAACCTTCTGACTCAGAGGTGGGAGTGCTACCAACTGAGCAAGGCTGACATCTAACACCTACACATTTTCAAGAAAAAAGGTGAGTGGAAATCCCTTGATAGTAAGATCAGTGAGACCCTAATTCATTTTTCACATCCCGAGCTCAGGGATACTGAGGCTAATTGTTCTCCAACATTGTGATTTGGACTTCACAGGTCGGACCAAAGTAAATCTCCAAATATTGTGGAAACAACTGCACTGAAATGTTCCAACCCAGCAACAACAGTGAACCTGAAATTCCTCAACCTGAGGCTGAACTGACCCTTTCCTTGTCAGTTTGAGGACTGTGTGTTCAATGACTGATCAAGCAGTCCCTGTGCTCTGGATGTTACACCGAAACACATAGCAACAAGATCTTATCCAGATCTGATTAGGTCTGCTCAGGAACCTGCATTCTCTGAAGTATCACTTCGCTCACCTTTTCACCGCAGTGCGTAACTCCACATGTAATATAATTCTGTGCAGTAATATAGAGTAACCCACAGAGTTAAGTCCCTAATATTTTACCCTGTACTACCTGCTCGCTTGCACAAGAGTGATAGACAAAAGAAGTCTTTTCCTTGTCACATCCTGCTAGGTAAGCGTTCCGATACACTGCTCTGTGACACTTGATTGTTATCATTATAAGAACAACTAGTTCAGTACTGTACAAGGTCAACTCCAGTAAAACCACACATTCAACTGTGAGCGGATACAGTATCTGATCACAATCTCATCCACAATATAACACGTACGAATTAATGAATTTCGGAAATGATGAAAACACAGAGACAGATAATAATAATAATAATAGACATTTTATACACAATTACCTTATTGGTGCTGTTGCATTACAGCCAGCTCTGGGTGGAACTTCACACCACTACAGTACAGTATAACACAGTAACACAATCAATAGTCAATTTACCACACCATTTAAACTTTTCAGAATAAAATAAAATAGATATACAACCCATTTATTAATTGTTTCTCTTACACACGATTGGATTTTTTGGTTGCAAGCCCCTGGTACAACATTATAGTGCGACTTTCTCCTCTGTCCTTGTTTTTGTTCATGGGCAAAATGCCCACCCTGCTAAGTTCATGGAACTTTCAGTTTTAGCTGTACACTTACCTGTTTTCAAATAACACATTCAGGACCTTTTGTTGTTTGTTGCTTTGTTACTTCAGGAGCACAATGCTTGAGCAGTGGCAGCAGATTGTGTAGCTCTTCCTGGTTTTCGTCTTGAGGAGACTGAAGGCCAATAACAATGAAACCTTCCCTAATAGTCAGGAAGTGGCTTGACGTCAGCTCATTAGCCTCTGACCACTTTCTTCTGTTTCAGTCTGATCCAGGAAGTGCTGTGGTTCAGACTCTGGAAGAGTTGCTATAGTGGTTGTCACAGTATGACTAGAGTACACAACACCACAGGCTGTTATCTAGTCGTGCGACGGTAAATTGTACCATTATTCAGTTTCAGAAAGTGTCATCAATCATAATGTGTTCCAGGCAAAATGTATCTGTACAGTCACATAAAAGCTTTGTGGAGGGAGACCCAAGAGAATCGTGTTTGCTGTATAGTTAGAAACAGAAGAAAATATTGGGAAATAACAGAATGTATTGATCAAAACCCTTTTTTTTAAAATTCTGTGATTAAACCGTCTTTTGATTACAATGAAGAATACATAACATTACTATCCTGGCTGATAATCCCCCCAGATAAAATTGATCATTCACTTTATGGCTGTTTGTGAGACAATGCCACATGCAAATTGGTTTCTGCATTTCATTTCAAAATACGGAGTCATTACACTTCACAGTAAAATCTTGTGAAGCACTGTGAGACATCCTCCCGACGTGCACAAAACAAAACAAGTATTTTTACTATTATTATTACTATTATTATTACTCTATTCCCTTGATGTGAAGTTATATGGATGTTTCTTTAATTTGTAAAGTGTTAAAGTTCTCATCAAATTGATTCCATGTACACAAGGTGAACAGTTGTTGTGAAATGTTATTGCTTAAACAAACAAATCAAGTTTAACAGTGAGAACAGGGAGGTTAAGATGTTTGGAATGTATCCTGTTTAACCTTAAATATAGGTAGGGCTCTGATCCAAGATATGTCTTGGGTGTCTGAACTTTTAACAAGAATGATTCATGCCAACCTTGACATTGATAGAGTGAATTGTGGCAAAATGGAGCATATTTAGCCCTGTTAGCTGATGATCACCCTATACTAATTTAAAAAAAAACGTTTTAGTTTGTCCAATTATCCTTCTAAATAATCTCCCCATTGGCACATGTCTCACTGCTCCTTGTCTTGCTGATGCGTTTATCACATCCAGGCTAGACTACACTAACTCTCTGCTCACCGGACTTCCCAACTCTGCCCTCCACAAACTGCAGACTATTCAGACCTCTGCAGCTGTGTCCTCTTCTGCACTGTGAGCCTATCACCCCCATTCTCAGGAGGAACACTTTATTTTTAAAAAAACAGAACTTAACAGGTGCACAGTGCACTGGACCAAAACATGGCTCTTTGCAGCACTGAGTTCCTGAACTGTTTGGGGAGGTGGAGACTCAGCCACCTCACCTCGAGCAAAGGGAAACAGAGGAAGCATCAACTTGACCAACTTCCATGCACCTCCTAGTGGCTGGCTTGAAAACAGTAGGGAAGCATGAGGAAATCTCCCACTTTGGTTCTCAGACATGTTTAGACATGAAATGGAGAGATAACTTCAGGGAAGGGAAAGAGAGAAGTATGCACACAAACAAAACAGAGACTTAATAGTTTTTGTTTGACAAAATCATTTACTTAGACTTTAAAAGAACTTCCTTTGGACCAGTGTAAAAAAATAGCAATTGCTGAAGGGAGAATGTTCCAGCTTAACCTTTTGCAACCAAACAAACTTGCAACCTACTGAGGTGTTTATTCATGAGCAATATACTGTGAAAAAATATCTGAGGCCACAGGCTAAGAATGTCAAAACAAAGTAATTGCAATTATACAATAGTAATGTGTAAAAGCGCATCAGACAAGTTAAATATTAGAATCAGAAACAGTCCCGCTGCTGAAATAACTATTTCTCCGAATCAATTTCTTTTGACAGCATATCAAATTTCACAGGGGCTTTCATATTTAGAAAAGTCAGACAGTTCTAGAGGTCAAATGTGTTACATCTACGTTCAACAGCTTCAATATCTGACAAATTATTGACGTTGAACTGTTTCCATGAGTGAAACCAAAAACGCTATTATGCATTTATGGTCGATTTGTGTCCAGCATCACTTTTGTTACATATTTCATAGAATTTACAGCACTGAAGCACGCCATTCGACCAAGCTAATCCGTGCTGCTGTTTATATTCCACAGATTAAAATTGTTGCTTTTCTAAAAAAAATTGCAATCTCCTCAAACAAAATAATTGCACTTTTTAACCCATTGTGTAAAGTATCTCAGTCAAATTGATATAATAATAATCCATGCATTAAATATAGTGACGTATAATGTTGTTGAAACACTTCAATGCACTTTACAATGCACTTTGGAATTGAACAGTGTTTTACTGTAAAGTTATTTAGCACATCAATGAGTTGGATGTATTCCTTCCCCCTGACACACCCACCCCTCTTAACCTCTTTCCCCAGCCACCCCCTCTACCTGACAACCTCTACTCCCTGAAAACCCCTTCCCCCAGATACCTCCCAATATCCCCTGACACCTGGGGGTGAGATATCAAAGTACTTCACAATATTTTACCATAAAGTGCAGTGTATTTTGTCAGCAAACCATCAGCCACTTGTGCACAGCAATGTCCCACACGCAACTATGAAGTGAATGGCCGATTTTATCTCAGAAAGACTGGGAGAAACTCCCTTCTCTTTTGAAACAGTGTCGTAGGAAGGACCGTTAAGGTCTGATCAGAAGGATGTCATCTCAGCTATGCAGGGCACCCCCATCACTGAATTGCGACAAATGTGCTCCTTACTACTACTAATACTACAACAACTACAGCTTTCATTTTTATAGCACCCCTCCCTGAGGCCGGCTCATGCCTAAATAAACAAATAAAATAGGAAAGAAAATTATGCTCAATGCACAATCAAGCAAATAAATCTAACTTTGAATACAATTCTTGTGTTGGTAGTTCAAAAACAAAAATCTCCGAGGAATAATTTTGCCTACTTTTGCTATAGTGTTTTTTTAATATTTGATGGGCATTTATAACCATTAGCACTCAACGGGAATACCACAGAAGTAAACATTCAGCATTTAAAACAATAAATAATGGTTGGAACGGACTAAATTATTTCCATTAATGATTTTGTATTGGTTTGTTGAGTGTAAAAGACACATGTAATTAAGACCCAGTTGAAGTAGAATGTAATACCTCACCTCTGTAAAATAAATGCTTAGTCATAAAGCAGACTTATATTGCTACATATGAAACTGTTGTGATTTATAAAACTGTTGGAATTACTAATTGTTGTCTGTGATGGAATAATGGGAACTTTTTAATATTTGTAAATAGTACAGATTTTTTACAATTACTAATAATTCAGCCATATGTGGGATGTGTAAATTATCTACCACTGTAACAACCATGACACAAATGGAAATGTTGCCATGTCCCATGATTGGAAATAAATCATCCTTGCATTTGATATAGCACCTTTCACGTTGGGATGATGTCTTAAAACACTTCACAGAATTTACTGTAAAGCGTAGTAATTGTATTTTGCAGGCAAATGCAGCAACCATTACTTGCACAGAAATGTTCCATAAACAACCATGAAGTGAAATAATCAATTCTATCTGGGGCAGGGATTTTCAAACTGGGGCTGCACACCCCCACCCCACCTCCAGAATTCTTTTGGTTTGACCTGCATTTTTTCCAAGTCAGGTAGGAAAGAGAAACCAAGTGTAAGGAGAGGCCAAGTTTTGGAGAAGGGAGATAAAAAAGGAAAAAACACATTGGTTCGTCCTCTTCCCTCCGGTTCAAATATCAGTCACTTACTAGCCCGGGGACAAGAAACTAAGGGAGTATCTCCCGAGGAGCATGTGAATATGGCATTTTCTAAAAGCAGATTAATGTCCCAAGAGGAGTCAGCAAAAGAAGTTTTGGAACCACTGATTTTGGAGATTGTCAGCCAGGTAAACTAAGAGAAATTTTCTTTTCAAATATTGCCATGGGATATTTAATATTTCTCTGAACAGGCAAACCTTAGTTTCATCCAAAAGATGGTGGCACTTGAACTCACAACCTTCTGACACAGAGGCAAGAGTTCTACCAATTGAGCCAGGCTGACATCAAATTACTAGCGCAAGAAAAGCTACTTGCCTGCAGAAACGAAATGTGACCTGAAGGATAACCGTGATGCATATATTAAAGAATATTCGTTCAAAATGCAAATGCAGAACACATTGCTGCCTCAACCCTTATTTTAATCTTACTTTGAAATCTAAAATATTTTGGGGTAGAATTTAACTACCCAAGATATAAAAATAACTTTTTAATTGACCAATATAGTAATAATAATTATAATCTTTGCATTTGGTATAGTTCTTTATCATATCGAGAGACCTGGGTTTGATTCCTGGCAGGGCAAAGCCTTGGGCAAGTTTCCTTACTCCACACACCTGATGATAATCCCTCAAGAAAAAAAACACAATAATAAATTGATCACTTCAATCCACGACTGTTTGTGGGACACTGCTGTATGCAATTGGCTGCCGTGTTTGGCCCACAAATATACAGTCAATTATGTTTACAGTATATTCTGTGAAGCGCTTTGAGACATCTAGAAGACGTTAAAAGTGCTAAATCAAATGTAAGGATTATTATTATATCATTGAAATGTCTCAAAGCACTTCATGGGATATTACTGTAAATTGTATTGACTATATTTTGCAGGTGAACAAGTAATAAAAAGGGTAAACAACATCATTTATATTCTGCAGTCAATATATTTATAATGTACTTAACTTCACTATAAATTAGCTTTGCAAAAATAGTCTCAATATTGGGATCAAGCCATCATTACAGATCAGCCTTAGAAAAGAAAAACAATCTATATTGTTCTATATTGGCACTTGAGACTGACCCAACAGTGTCTGATGTTTAAGAGCTTCTGTGGTATCACTTTTGTGTGAAGAATGTAGGATCTTAATATTTATTGGAATGAAAAATGTAACTTGTGATGGACAACTAGTAAGGTTAACTGTCTCAC